ATAATGCTACTCAGTTTTTTTTTTAAATTTTTTATCCTGATGTTATCTTTCTCTTTCAACCCTAAAGGCATTGATTTGACTCCTTGTTTCTTCAGTAGTCATATAAATGATTCATCACTTTAGGAGCAAAGTTGTTCTTTCCGCTTTTATCCCACAGGAGGCGGGCACAGGCTCCGGGTCAGCCATGGAATCCTGGCCTCCACGGTGGCAGACACTTTGTCTGGAAAACACTCTACTTTCAGGGGTGGCCATTGAAGATTTTCTGCCTGAAAACTCCCACTTGGCAAGGGAAGCAAATAAAAGCGTGGTTTACAGTGCAACCCTTTAAAACAGAAGCTTGCTAAACAAATGGGAAGCGTGAACAGAATTCGTAAGGAACTGTGAAATGAAGAGGATGCTGTATTTGGAAGCTGTGAAATTGCTCTAGGATTCCAAACCTCAGAGTAGCTTCCAGGCTCCTGGGAAGAATCAGATGCGTGGCCTAAATAAAAAACAGTCCCCTGGCCAGGCAGCCAGGGCGGGGACATCAAAGAGTTCGCACACTGTGCGTGTGCGTGTGTGTGCACTCATGCCAGTGTGCGTGTGGGTACATGCATGCACGCAGGTGTGTACTTTTTTTTTTAAATTTTTTTAAGAGACAGGGTCTCACTCTGTTGCCCAGGCTGCAGTGTAGTGGCATGGTCCTAGCTCACTGCAGCCTCAAATTCCTGAGCTCAAGTGAGCCCTCCACCTCAGCCTCCCAAAGTGCTGGGATTACAGGCGTGAGCCACCACACCCAGCCAAGTGTGGAATCTTGATTCATGATCTTTCATAGCTGAGGGGCGAGAAAGCTCACTGCCATCCCTTCTCATTCCAAGGACACACTCTGAGAACAGTTGTAATGACTTTTTTTTCTTCTTGAGAATAGGGTCTTGCCATGTCACCCAGGCTGGAGTGTAGTGGCGCGATCACAGCTCACTGCAGCCTCGACCTCCCAGGCTCAAGTGATCCTTCCACCTCAGCCTCCTGAGTAGCTGGGACTAGAGGCGCATGTCACCACAACTGGCTAATTTAAACAATTCGTAGTTTTTGTTAGTTTGTTTTTGAGACAGAGTCTCACTCTGTCGCCCAGGCTGGAGTACAGGGGTGAGATCTTGGCTCACTGCACCCTCTGTCTCCCGGGTTCAAGCGATTCTTCTGCCTCAGCCTCCCGAGTATCTGGGACTACAGGCGTCCCCCCACCACACCTGGCTCTTTTTTTGTATTATATTTTTAGTAGAGATGGGGTTTCACCATATTGGCCAGGCTGGTCTCGAACTCCCGATCTTGTGATCCACCCGCCTTGGCCTCCCAAAGTGCTGGGATTACAGGTGTGGCAGGCAACACCCGGCCAATAAGTTTTTTTTTTTTTTTTTTGAGACGAGGTCTCACTGTGTACGCCCAGGCTAAAATGCATTGGTGCAATCTCAGTTCACTGCAACCTCCGCCTCCTGAGTTCAAGAGATTCTCCTGCCTCAGCTTCTGGGTGGCTGGGACTATAGGCACGTGCCACCATGCCCAGCTAATTTTTTTTTTTTTTTTTTTTTTTTTTTAAAGCGGAGTCTACCGCTCTGTTGCTGCCAGGGCTGGGTGCGGTGGCTGGATCTCAGCTCAGTACAGCTCCGCCTCCCGGGTTTACGCCATTATCCTGCCTCAGCCTCCCGAGTAGCTGGGACTACAGCGCCCACTGCCTCGCCCGGCTAGTTTTTGTATTTTTAGTAGAGACGGGGTTTCACCGTGTTAGCCAGAGATGGTCTCGATCTCCTGACCTGCGTGATCCGCCGCCTCTCGGCCTCCCAAAGCACTGGGATTACAGGCTTGAGGCCACCGCACCCGGCCTTGAGCCACCGTGCCCGGCCGCCTAATTTTTATGTTTAGTAGAGAGGGGGGTTTCACCATGTTAAGCAGGCAGGTCTTGAACTCCTGACCTAGGGTGATCCGCCCACCTCCACCGCCTCCCAAAGTGCTGGAATTAAAAAGAGAGAGCCACCGCACACCTGGCCAAAAAAATTTTTTTTAGAGACAAAGAAAGGTCTCGGGCTGGAGTGCAGTGGCTGGATCTCAGCTCAATGCAAGCTCCGCCTCCCGGGTTTACGCCATTATCCTGCCTCAGCCTCCCGAGTAGCTGGGACTACAGGCGCCCACTGCCTCGCCCGGCTAGTTTTTTGAATTTTTTAGTAGAGACGGGGTTTCACCGTGTTAGCCAGGATGGTCTCGATCTCCTGACCTCGTGATCCGCCCGCCTCGGCCTCCCAAAGCACTGGGATTACAGGCTTGAGCCACCGCACCCGGCCCTTGAGCCACCGTGCCCGGCCGCTAATTTTTTATATTTAGTAGAGAGGGGGGTTTCACCATGTTAAGCAGGCAGGTCTTGAACTCCTGACCTAGGGTGATCCGCCCACCTCCGCCTCCCAAAGTGCTGGAATTACAAGAGAGAGCCACCGCACCTGGCCAAAAAAATTTTTTAGAGACAAAGAAGGTCTCATTATGTTGCCCCGGCTAGTCTCAAACTCCTGGGCTCAAGTGATCCTCCCACCTTGGCCCCCAAAGTGCTGGGATTGTGGGTGTGAACCAGTGTGCCCTGCCAGTTATTAGATTTGAAGCCTACCCTAAATCCAGGATAATCTTATCTTGATGCTTAGCTAATTAGATCTGTGGTGACCCTTTTTCCAGCGTCACATTCTGAGGGTCTAGGGGGACTTGTGTTTTCTTTTGGGCTGGGCTGGGGCACTCTTCCCCGACTACACAGGGTTAGAGGCGGACTGAGCGGTCCCATAGCCCCTTCCCTGAGGTCTACACCCTAGTCTGCACCCTCGAGGTCAGCGCCGCCCAGTGGAATGTTCTGTATGCTGGACACACTCCATCCCTGCCTTGTCCAGGGCAGCCCCCACTGTGCGTGACTGCTGGACACCTGAAATGTGGCGGGTGCCACTGAGGAACTGGACTTTTAAAAACGCAAATGTTCTTGTCCTGGAAGGCGCAGGTGTGAGTCCTCCCACTCCTGTGTGAGGAAAGGAAGAGGGAGCAGAAACTGCTGGGAGAAGGGGCTGCAGCCTGCTCCAGGCTTCCCATCCCCAGCCCCCACCCTGGGTGCCCCAAGGTCTCCTGGGAGATGGGCATCCTCACAGAAGCCAGGGCCTGGGCCCCTTTGCACAGCCCCCAGCACTTGTGCCGGGCCTGGAACCTTGACCAACGAACTGTTTACTGCGTTGAGCAGAGCCCTTTGAAGGGACAACCCCAGGGGCCCTCAAAGCCACCAAGGCTGCGTGTGGCCTCTCCCTGTACATTACACCTCCTGGGCCCGCACCACTGGGGTTGGAGCCCCTGTCTCTGCTCATGGCCAGAGTAGCTGCTCCCATATGCGACGGCACGTCCACAGACCGGCCCGAGGACATTGTGGATGGGAGGCAACAGTTTTCCTACAGAGGTGGGGTTTAGTGGGAAGGGGTGTAGAATCAGGAAGGTGGCGGCGGAGCATTCCAGGTGGAAGCTCGGGCAGGAGGATGCTCTTGAAGAATTGAAGGAAGGCTGCTGGGCCAGGTCCTCAGGGGCAGAGAGGAGGCCAGTGGGGGCCTCGTGGACTAGAGTGGAGGGATCTCCATGTTCCCCACTCCTGACGACAGCCCGGTGTGGGTTTGGGCTCCCTCCCCATTGCCTGCACCCCTTTGTACCGCGTTTTCACCCTTGGCACGTGTTGTACCACAGGCTGTTCTTACCTGTGTCCTTGTGTGTTTAATTGTAATGAACCTGTGGGCGCTGGGAAGCGGGGCAGCCCATCCATTCTCCACGTCCCTGAGCTGTGGCCCTGGAATGAGAAAGTGCGGGGAATCCGGGGGGTGGGGGGTGACATCAGACTGCACTTGAGTCACTGTCAAGGCCTTCCCGAGGGTGTCCTGCACGCAGGGGGTCCTCTCAGGGCCCTGGGCAGAGAGAGGAGGAAGGTCTGAACCATGAGGTCTCCAACCTCCTCTGGCCATTTGTGGGGTGGGGCAAGACGGGGTCGGGGCTGGGATGGGAGGGGCAGCTGTGTCTGCAGGCACGGAGGATGGTCTGCAGGGCCCTCTCCTTCAGGAGTCTGTTCTATCTTTTCTTTGAGACAAAGTCTTGCTCTGTCATCCAGGCTAGAGTGCAATGACGTGTTCTCGGCTCAGTGTAACCTCTGCCTTCCGTGTTCAAGCCATTCTCCTGCCTCAGCCTCCCAGCTAGCTGTGACTGTAGACATGTGCCACCATGCCTGGCTAATTTTTTTGTATTTTTAGTAAAGATGGGGTTTCACCATGCTAGCCAGGCTGGTCTCAAACTCCTGACCTCAAATGATCTGCCCGCTTTGGCTTCCTAAAATACTGGAATTACAAACATGAGCCACTGCACCCGGCCTGTTCTTTTTATCTCACTAAGCGCCTGGCCCAGAGCCTGGATTCTGGGGACAGAGATAAGTAGACCCAGTCCCAGCTCTCAAGGGGTACCCCTCCCCGCAGCTGTCCATGTTGGCGACAGATGTGTCAAGAGACACAGGGTAGCCCGGGCTATGACGGAGGGCAGGACTGAGCATCTGTACTCCTGAGAGGGCTCCTGTATCCCCGACATGAGGTCATGCCCAAGAGTCACTGTCCCCCAGGCCACGCTGGCCTCCACCGTGGCAGAAAGCTACATCCTGCCTTTGAAGTCAGATGTGTCTCGTTTTAAGTCTTTGGTGCAGCCTGGCTTTGCACTGATGACTTAACCCTGCTGGGCCTCAGTTTTCTATCTATAAAGTGGGGGGATTATTTCCAGGGTATGGCTGGTCGTGAAGATGAACTTGGGCCACGTGTGTAAAGCCACAGATGGTGGACGCTCACTCAGCAGGTGTCGCCTTCCAGGAATGCTGCTGCCTGTGCCTCCCAGCTCAGGCTGGGCTGGCCAAGGAGGCTGCTTTTTGCTAAGTGCCCGAGGGTTTTCTAGGAGAAGGTGGCACAGAGGCTCACCTGTGTCTGCTCTTCCAGGGGACGATCACTTTGGAAGATGCGTTGTCACGTTCAGCTGCTGCCGGATGCCACCCTCCCATGAGCTGGACCACCAGCGGGTGCTGGAGTGAGTGTCCTGCCCCTCTCGTTCTGTCCCTGTTTTTCCATGTTGCTTGTACCCATCCCTTCACCCCACCTCCCTCTGAGTCACCTGCTCTGTTCTAGGGCCTATTTGTGAATTTGTTGGTGTGCAGAGCTCTTGCGCTCATGAGCCTACTGGAGGGCCATCTGTGGCCACCCCCGGTCCCTGGGCTTTCGTGCACCATTCATTAGCACAGTGGGAGGCAGGTTTGGTTTCCTTTTAGCCACCCGAGCTGTGGGTGTCTCCCTTTGGGGTTAGGGCCAGTCCCCTGGTCCTAGGTGTAGACCAACCTTGCAGATGACATGGCTGCCAAGTGCCAGGCCTCCCCCACACACTGTCCCTTTGAAACCTCCCTGGGCCTCTCTCCGGGAACACCTTCGGAGCTGTGTGAGTTTCCTGTGGCTGCTGTAACAAAAGACCACATGCTTGGCAGCTTAAAATGCTCTGAGTGGACCTTCCTTGGTTCTGGAGGGCACCAGTCTCCAAGGTCAGGGCGGCGGCAGGGCTGCACTCCCCCTGGAGGCTGCAGGGGAGCTTCTGGCCTCTTCCAGCTCCAGGGGGCCCCAGATGACTGGTGGCCATGTCATTCCCTTCTCTGCCTCAGTCTTCACGTGGCCTTTTTGCCTCTGTGTCTTCCCATCTCATAAGGACACCAGCCACTGGACTAGGGCCACCCTGATCCCATAGCACCTCATCTGAACGAATTACACCAGCAAAGACCCTATTTCCGAATTAGGTCACACTCTGAGGTTCTGGGTGGAATTTTGGGGGGTGCCATTCAAACCCAGGACAGAAGACAAGGGCCTGTTGCTGCTGCTGTCATTGGCTCAGCAGGCATCTATTGAGCACCTACTGTATGTGAGGCATTGGATAGATAGTCACTGTATCAGGGCCCACCTGTGAGCTGAGGAAATCAACACTGTGGTTTGGGAGAACTGAGGCCAGGAGATGACTCTGAGACACACGTACTGGGACATGGAAGGGGCTGAGCGAGCGGTGCCTGGACCCCATGTACCTTATATACACCCAGCGCTACCCAGGTGCGCATGGGCTCCGCAGCTGGTACGGGGTGGGGGCCGTAGAAAATCTGGGTGGTTGTTGGTTTGCCATACCAACAAGCATCAGGAGCATTGAGAAGGGGAGGTCTCAGGCCGTTTCCAACTGACTTGGTCAAGGAAACTTTTACTGCACTGAGCAGAACCCTCTGAAGGGATGAGCCCAGGGGTCCTCATAGCCACCAAGGCTGCGTACATTACCCCCATCTATCTGTACATTATCCCCCCTGGGCCTGCACCTTCTGTTCCCCCAGCCTTTGCATGCAGCACCCCCAAACACATCCTCCCTTGCATATGTTCCCTCGTGTGCTCACCTCCATCTTGTGCCATTCCCCTACTGTGGCTGTTCTCTCTCCACCCCCAACCACCATGCACACACCCCCTCTCATGCTCACACCCCCTCCCATGGGCCCACCCCTCTCATGCTCACATCCCCTCCCATGCACACAGCCCCTCCCGTGCACGCACCCCCTCCCGTGCACACACCCCCTCCCATGGGTCCACCCCCTCCTGTGCCCACACCCCCTCCCCTACACACATTCCCTCCCGTGCACACACCCCTTCCCGTGCCCACACCCCTCTCTCATGCACACACCCCCTCCTGTGCACACACTTCTCCGTCACTAAGTTGCGTGCTCAGCACAGACCGAGTGTTCAGAGTGAAAGGCTAACCTAAACTAGATTGGGCCCTCAGTTGGCTGTCACATGACCCCCAGGCCCCCAGACCCCCTGCAGGACTGAGCCTTCTCCAACCCAGGACATTTTTGAGTCCACATTATTGAGCTCTGGCCCTCTTAAGTCTGCCTGTTTCCTTCCCTCCCTCCGTCACCCTTTTCAAAGCCATGTGGGCCTCCTGCCCTGTACCCTCTGCACTGGCCGTTTCCCATTGCTCAGAAGGCAGCACCCGCCCCTCCCCTGTGTATGGCCTTGGGCGCCCTGTCACCCTCTTTCATCTGTCTCTGGCTGCTGGTGTCTGCTGTGCTGGCCACACTGCTTTCATAAGGCGGCCACCGAGCCTCCTTCCTGGTGAAACCCCCGGGCCCAGGAGAGCTGCTGCTGGGGGAAGAGTTGGCAAAATAGTGAGAGCAGCGCCTCTGCCAGAATCCCCGTCCAGGTGAGTGAGAGCTCCCCAGGCCCAGGGAAGCTCAGTCTCAGTGAAGGGAAGTTAGGTTCTCAGGGCCTTGGAATTTGCTCCCTGGCAGTGAACTGGTTGAGCTTCATTCCTGAGGCCGAGCCCTGACTCATCTCTGGGTGTCTCTGGAAACATTTATTGTGCCCTCGTGAGGACAGGGAGCACGGCACCTGGCCTGCCACAGACTCCCTCACTGCTGGGGACAGCTCAGGACATGACCCTGGCGGGAAGGCTGTGCCTTCCGCTACTTCCAGATGCCAGCATCTAACTGCTAAAGCCAAGGAACCCGGGGAGTAGGATGTGACCTGGAACCCCCAACGCAAGATGAACAAAGGCACGATCGGACCGTAGAAGCACCCAGAAGACTTTGGGCTGGTTGCTTCGTGAGAGTCCCCCCGATAGATGCATCCTGTCTGGTCTGTTAAAGAATCTTCCGGCCACAGCTGAAACTGCAGTGGCGAAGGCAGAGACCTCGCGGGGAGCAGGTGCCAGGAGCAGCTTCCACTGGTGAGACCTGCAGGATGCATGGGGCGAGCTGGGATCCTGGGGCTGGTTACCCCAGACAGGCTGGCGTTCCCCAGAGGGTGCCCACTCCAGTGCGGAGGCGATGCCAGCCAGCTGCCCACTCTTGGTGTTCACCAGGCACACAGGGAGAGACGGATGCCAGATTCAGGAAAAGTTCGTATCCTGGGGTCGTCTTGAGAGGATGCGTTCCCTTGTCAGGTCATTTGGGCACGGAAAGACCCGTGACCTGTGGGTCAGCTCTCCCCACGGGGCTGCTGCTGGGCCAGGAGGGAGCTCAGGATTTGCTGTTCTTATAAAGACAAAAGTGCCTTCGAAGACAGAAAGCGAATTGGTGGTTGCCAGGGCCTGGAGGAGTGATGGGGAGAATGACTGTTTAACAGGTCTCGGTTTTCTTTTGGGTTGATAACAATATTTCAGAACCATAGAGAGGTAATTGCACAGCTTTGTGAATATACTAAATGCCACTGGATTGTTCACTTTAAAATGGTTAATTTATATTATGTGAATTTCAACTCCATTGGACAAAAAGCACCCCTGACAACAAATTGGTACCTTGTGCTCTTTTATGTGCTTATCCAAGATTCCTTTACTATTAGGTGGAAGTGGTAAGCATGGCTTCCTTGAACAGTTGTATAGGTTGTTCACTGCTCAAGGCTAACCAGATGAGAAGCTACCATCAGCTGGTACTCTTTCACTCAGTGCGGGACAAGCATCTTCCCAGAGGAAAACACATCTTTTTCTAACTCGTGTAAAGGTGCTCTGTGGGCTTCTTGGCCTTGATAAGAAGAGCTATCAGGCTTAGCCTTCTCTGCAGCCTTTATAAAAAAAAACACTCCGTACATTATCCTCCCTATCCATTTCAACCGGATGGCTTTTCTGTGGCCAGATGCATGCTCCTATTTTTGAAGTGGATGAAGAAACAAGTCTGTCTTTGAAACCCAACTGGTAATTTAGTTAATGACTTCCTGTGCCGAGCACGTGGGCAGATGCGTTGACACCCAGAGGATTTTAGCACACTGAACAGAAGGCACCCGGAGGAGCCCAGCACTGGGGCCAGAGGAAGGGTTCCTGCTTTCACGAGGAGGCGTCCAGAGTGGGAAGATGAGCTGTGCAGAGACACTGGCCTCAGTTTCCCTTTCTTGAAAAAGTCATTTGCGAAATGCGAAAGTGACTGTTCTGAGGAGTGAGAAGCTCTCAGTGGCTCGGGGGCTCTTCCACCCCTCTGTGTTCAGGTGGAAGTCTCAACCTGGTCTTCTGAGACAGTGACTCAGTAAAGGATGACCTTGGCGAAGTGTGCCCCAGTGGCTTAGCCCACATGGCGTTCAACACAGGCAATGCGCTGGAAGATGAGTGTTGAAGTTACTTCCACCACGGGTGATCTGAAATCACGCATGGTGTGAGGTCAGATGTGCGTGATTTCTCCACATCAAAGCAGACTGTGGGATGGGAGCAGGCGTGGATGGCAGCCCAGGCTCTCAGAGACACTGAGTGTGTGGACGCTGGAGCCAAGCCGCTTGGTTCGAAGCCCAGCTCTGCCCCTTACTGCCTCACCTCTGCGAGCCTCAGTTGACTTGTCTATAAAATGGAAATAATAGTACCTGCCTGCTAAGGTCATTGAGAGAACTGAATGTGTAGAAGGCCTGCAGGGCAGGTGGTTTGGGCTTTTGACAGAGGGCACTCTGACGTTGCTTATAAATCAGATGCACAAAGGAGAAGCTGGCATCCTTGGTCTCTAGGCTTCCGGGCAGTGCAAGACCAGCCGAGCCTCTGCAGATGGGCACAGGCAGCTGGGGCTTTCTCCTGAGGCAGTTCTGGGGGCATCTGTCTGCAGAGCACCCTGCCCACAGCATCAGAGAGCGGGACCACCTGGGTGGATTAATTACAAGATGTGCTCCAGGTGAGAACCTGGACAACCTGAGCTGAGGGATCATGGCCTCACTGGCTCAGTGTCAGGCCCTGCAGAGTGCCGATGGAGGGTTAGGAGGAGGGTTAGGAGGTCCTTCTGCAGCCCTTCCTCCTGCAGGTGGCAAGGCAAGCCCTTTCCCACAGGTGACATGAAGACAATGCTTCCTCGGTGCAGCAGGGCAGGATGGAACGTGGTCCATGGGAAGTGGGTAGAGCCTACACCATAGGGGGTGGCCGGTGACAGATGCAGAGCAGTGTCAGGACTCTGACTTTATAATGAAAAGCAAAATGTTAGAAGCTCACCTGGAAAGAGGGAATTGCTTGCCTTAGAAATGCAGCGAGCAGCAGGGCGTCTGAGGTGGAAGGGCCTGTGGTATTGAGGTTAACGGCAAGGGCTGAGCAGTCAAGCATTCCTGGGTTCGAATCCCAGCTCATCCTCCTTGTGCGTTTCCCGGGGCTGCCGTAACCATGACCACAAATGTGGTGGCGTAAAACCAGAAGTGTATTCTCTCACAGTTCTGGAGGCCGGAAGTTCAAAATCAAGGTGTGGGCAGGGCCGTGCTCCCTGCGGAGGGAGAATCCCTGCGGAGGGAGAATCCAGCCCATAAAGGCTGTCGGCAGTCCTGGGCCTTCCAGGGCTGGTGGCCACGTCACGCTCTGCTCTGCTTTGCCTCTGTCTTCACGTGACCTTCTCCGCTCTGACTTCTCATCTTCACGTCTGCCTTAGAGAGATGCATGTGATTGCACCGAAGGTCCGCCTAGGTAGTCCAGGATGAGCCCCTCCTCTCAAGGTCCTAAATTTAATTGCACCTGCAAAGACCTTTTTCCCAGATAAGGTCATATTCTCAGATTCCACGGATTTGATAAAGATTTCTTTCCACGGCCCATATTTTCACCTACCACATCCACTTGTTGTGTGACCTTAGGTAAGTGACCTTAGGTAAGTCACTTAACGCCTCAGCCTCAGAGGTCATCTGGGAAATGAGAATCGAGGCCCACGGTGCATGGAGTCTCCGTGTGGCCCAGTGCTGGCACCCACTGGGTGACCACAGCTGCCGTTGTAGGAAACGTTGGATTTCAATAATGAGCAGGTGATTTTCTTTTTTCTTTTTTTTTTTTTTTTTTGAGACGGAGTCTTGCTCTGTTGCCCAGGCTGGAGTGCAGTGGCCGGATCTCAGCTCACTGCAAGCTCCGCCTCTCAGGTTCACGCCATTCTCCTGCCTCAGCCTCCCGAGTAGCTGGGACTACAGGCACCCGCCACCGCGCCCGGCTAGTTTTTTGTATTTTTAGTAGAGACGGGGTTTCACCGTGTTAGCCAGGATGGTCTCGATCTCCTGACCTCGTGATCCGCCCGTCTCGGCCTCCCAAAGTGCTGGGATTACAGGCTTGAGCCACCGCGCCCGGCCAGGTGATTTCCATAACTGAATCTTCTGTGTTATGCCAGGTATTTGAAGTACACGCTGGACCAGTACGTCGAGAACGATTATACCATCGTCTATTTCCACTACGGGCTGAACAGCCGGAACAAGCCGTCCCTGGGCTGGCTCCAGAGCGCATACAGGGAGTTCGACAGGAAGTGCGTGCCCGCAAGCCTTCAGGGACATGGGTGTGGGCTAGGTGTGGCAGGAGGAGGCATTGTGGCCACAAGTGCTCACAGAGTATGCAGTGGGGGAGGGGCCTGGAAGGGCGGAGGGGAGGGGCCTGGAAGGGCGGAGGGTAGGGGGTGAGCAAACATGGGGCAGTGGGGGTTCACCTCCCCTCTGGGCTAAGACTTTGGAATCCTGGGCAAAGGATTCTTTCTTTTCCCTTATTTTTATTTATTTATTTATTTTTTTTAAGAGACGGTCTTGGCCAGGCACCATGGCTCATGCCTGTAATCCCAGCACTTTGGGAAACCAAGGTGGGTAGGTCACCTGAGGTCAGGAGTTCCAGACCAGGCTGGCCAACATGGTGAAACCCCATCTTTACTAAAAATACAAAAATAAAATAAAATAAAAAGAGAGTCTCGTCCTGTCGCCCAGGCTGGAGTTCAGTGGGCTCTAGCAATCCTCTTGCTTCAGCCACCTGAGTAGCTGGGACTACAGGTACACACCACCACACCCAGCTAGTTTTTTTATTTTTTTGTAGAGATGGGGATCTCACTGTGTGCCCCAGGCTGGTCTCGAACTCCAGGCTCAAGCGATCCTCCCACCTCAGCCTCCGGAAGTACTGGGACTACAGGCGTGAGCCACCACGCCAAGCTGACACCCTTGCTCTTAAAGGGCCAGTCACTCTATTGCAACAACTCTGCCGGACCGTGTTCCAGTAAAATGCTATGGACACTGAAATGTGAATTTCATGTCATTTTCACGTGTCATGAAATCTTCTGTTTCTTTTTCAACCACTTAAAAACACAAAAAGCCGTTTTTAGCTTGCAGGCTGTACTGAAGCAGGAAGCAGGCCGGGTTCGTCCTATGTGCCCTTTCGCCCACCCCTGGTCCAGTGAATTACGGGCAAAGAACCAACTGCGTGACTGTTTCTTCACTAACCCCCCTTCCTGCCTGCACAGCCCTTTACGGCCTGCAAGGGGCATTCCGATGCCTACTATTGGTAGGATGGGCAGTTCCATTTTACAGATGAGCACACAGGCCCCAGAGAGCAAGTGACTTACCTGTGGCCACTCAGCTTGGGTGTGGTAGGGCAGGACCCCACCCCAGGCCCCCGCCTCCCTCCCCCACCCACCCCATGCTACTCACCACTCGGCCATGGCCTGGAGTCGGTGGACTTTTCCTGAGGGACGTCCTGCCTAGCAGTCAACTTTGCAATATATCTGGCTCGTAGACTGCGGCGGTGGGCATCGATATGGATATCCTAGATTCCTCTGGGTTTTCCTTCTTCGAAGTCCTTTCAAACCTGTAACAGAAATCTGCTTCACAGATACCTGAGTCAATGGGACAGTGGGAGGCAGCACCTGATTGTTCCAGAAGTCCTTCTTCCAATTGCCTTTTGGGTCCTGCTGTCATTATCAATAGGACCTTTAGAGGGACTTCTTGGTTCCCTGTCCCATGTCTTAGGCAAACAATTGTTGCTGCATTTTGTAGTCATTTACTGGGCACCTGTATAAGCTGGAGATGGCCTAGCCCCAGCTCATGTCCTCCTCCAGGAAGCCTTCCTGGGTTGTCCTGGGAGAATCAATAGCCCCTCCCCTGCAGCCTCCCTGTCGCTGAGCAGGCACCAATCCTAACACTTAGGGGTTTGTGAATGGGTCTGCCTCCTGCACTAGGCTGTGACCCCTGACCTGTCTGCATCCCTTGCAGGTGGGAAAGGGTCTGCATATGGCAGGCTTTTTTTTTTTTTTTTTTTTTTTTCTTTTGAGACAGAGTCTCTCATTCAGTTGCCCAGGCTGGAGTACAGTGGCGAGATCTCAGCTCACCACAACCTCTGCCTCCCAGGTTCAAGTGATTCTCCTGCCTCAGCCTCCCGAGTAGTTGGGACTACAAGCGTGAGCCACCATGCCCGGCTAATTTTTGTATTTTTAGTAGAGACGGGGTTTCACTATGTTGGCCAGGCTGGTCTCGGATTCCTGACCTTGTGATCCGCCTGCCTGGGCCTCCCAAAGTGCTAGGATTACAGGCGTGAGCCAGTGTGTCCGGCTAGCAGGCTTTTAATAAGCATTAGATGGGAGGATAGAGAAGTGAAGTGGTACTGGCAGGAAGTACCAAGGTTCCAGCCAGCATAATCAGGAAGGCTGCATGGAGGAGGCAGCCTTTGAGCTGCCTGTGGAGTGGTGGGCAGGATGTCATGAAGTGGCAATCACTGGATTTTGTTTTTGGTACGAGGTATGGCCAGGTGCAAGAAAGAGCAGGGTGGACTTTGGTGCAGTTGGTGGGGGGCTGGACTGTAGGGTTCACGTGGGGAGCCTTGGAGGAAGGCAGCAAAGGAGGGAGGGGCACAGAGGATGCTGGACTGTGTTTAAGAGGCAGCAGGGAGCCATGGCAGGTGCTTGAGGAGAGGTGAGTGATGTATTTAAAGCAGCCCTTTCAGGAGGCTCAGGCTGACACAGCAGGATGTGCACAGTAGCCCTGTCTTGAGCTAAAGCTGCTGAAGGTTTTGCCCTCTGCACTTCCCCACGTGACAATCGAAGGTGCACCCCAGATTCCTTGAGGTGCCTCCCCCACTTCTCAGTTGCCAGAAATCAGCTCAGAGAAACAAACCCGAAGTCAGCCCAGGTGGTTTCCCTTCCCTTTCTCGAGGGGACTGCCGGTTTGCACATCAGGAATGGGTCATTCCTGCTTGAGAGACAGCAGCGGAATTCCTTAACATCCAGGTAAGATGTGCCGGTGGTCGATGTATGAAATCTCGCTGGCGAGTTGGAATCTGTGTTGCCAGCAGGGACTTGTGAACAGTGACAAAGCACCAGCCCGGGGAGGGAGGCCGGCCTTGCCACAGCCTGGGGAGGCTGTCAGGGCTCCCACATTGAAGGGCGTTGATAAGCGGAGCCATGCAGGTGGGGAGACTTGAAGCAGTGACTTCCAATCGCGATCATTTAACCTTGGCCAAAGGGGACTAGGCAGGGAAGAGAGGAACGTGACAGCCGTGGCCTTCAAGTCATCAGATGAAAGAGGCGGACTTGTTCTGTGTGACTCTCCCACTCCCCAGGAGGGTGGATGGGGTGGGGATTAGGGTTAACATTACAGATCTTGGCTCAGTAGAAGCAAAAAGGAGGGACACACTGTTTTTTATTTATTTATTTTTTGAGACGGAGTCTCGCTGTGTTGCCCAGGCTGGAGTGCAGTGGTCGGATCTCAGCTCACAGCAAGCTCCGCCTCCCGGGTTCACGCCATTCTCCTGCCTCAGCCTCCCAAGTAACTGGGACTACAGGCACCCGCCACCTTGCCCGGCTAGTTTTTTGTATTTTTTAGTAGAGACGGGGTTTCACCATGTTAGCCAGGATGGTCTCGATCTCCTGACCTCGTGATCCACTCGTCTCGGCCTCCCAAAGTGCTGGGATTACAGGCTTGAGCCACCGCGCCCGGCCCAGGAGGGACACTCTAGACATCAAACTACCCAAAAGTGGAGTGTCTGCAGGGGTGGCGAGTTTCCCGTCGCTAGAGGTACCTTTCTTGCCCAACCTGATGGCTTTGGACTGAAATATTCAAGAAGGAAGTGTTCGGACTGGGAAGAGGGAGAGAGGGAAGCTCACCTGGTGTTCCATTGTGTGGGCGGCTGTTGCACTGAACCAGCCTCTGGCCGGCTGACGTTTAGGTTATTGCTGGGTTTTTTGCCATCGTAACCAACATGGTGAGCTCCTTCTGGTCTGGGTCAGCTCCCGGCAGGGGAGGTGTTGGCTGAGAGGCTCTGTGCGGTTTTAATTCTGAGAGCTGTTGCCAGATTGCCCCCAGGTTGTGCTCTAGACACCCACCCCACCCTGGTGTGAGTGAGTGCCTATAAACAGGGCTCCGACCTGCACATGTGCCTCTGCAAACTGTAAAGGGCTGCAGGCGTGCCTGGTGGGGGCAGTGGGTGAGGGGTTCCTGATTTTCCCTGAGTTTATTTCATTCTTTGTTTGATGTCCTTAAATTGATCTCGTTGAGAGAAGTAACATTCTGAGACTCACAGTGGAGGCAGCTTTTTTTGGGTTATTGGGCGTGGGGTGTTTCTCGGAGCCTGGCAGCCTGAAGTCATCTCCCGTTTCCCTCCTCAGATACAAGAAGAACTTGAAGGCCCTCTACGTGGTCCACCCCACCAGCTTCATCAAGGTCCTGTGGAACATCCTCAAGCCGCTCATCAGGTGTGCGGGACTGTGGGAGAGGACCCCGCTGGGGTTGGAGGTCCCTCAGTGTCCGTGGGACGGCCTTCCCTATCCACATGCCACGGAGGGCCCGTCTCCAGGGTGCCTGTGGATCTGGGGCTCCCCACCCACTTGGGGGTCTTTGGGGGTTCACAAGGCTGGCCCAGGTCATGGACAGGAGTGCTGGCCTTTGACACCTGTGGGGTTTGCACCTGGTGTTTAGCCCCCTGCCTTGACCTGAGCCCCCACACTGTGCGACCACCCTCGGGTTCCGTGAATTTCCAGAGGGATTCACAGATCTCAGGAAAGCTGTTATCCTCACTGGTGTGGTCTGTTACAGAGACAGGGCACAGATTTAAGTCAGCAAAGGTAAAAGGCACACAGGGCTGAGTCCAGGAGGTCCAAGTGCAAGCTCCCAGCTGTTCTCTCCAGGCGGTTTCATACAGTCAGTGCTCCACTCTTCCAGCAAGAATGTGTGGAGGAGGAGGGAGCGTGGCTGGCCAGGGAAGCTCACCGAGCCTTGGTGCCCGGCGTTTTTGTTGCAGGTCAGTCATGTAGGCACAGAGTATCCACCCGGCTGACCTCAGTCACTCGGTCTCCAGCCCCTCCTGAGATGAGATGAATACAGCCCAGGGCCCCCACCCTCGATCACATTTTTGGCACAAACTCAGTGGTGTTGGCCCAAGGCCTCCAGTGTGCAAAGACATGACCAGGCTGACTCCTCCAGGGGCCGAGAGGTTTCCACCCAGGAGCAGGTCGCCCATGGCCAGGCTTCTCTTTGGAATGGGCAGGGCTTGGACACCCCAAGCCTGCTGAGTTAAGCTTTTATTGCATAGTAACCCAAATAAGCGGCCTAAAGAGAGGCAGCCACAGCCCGGAAATGTGGCGACTTCAGTCAGCTTCTACCATATTTAGGCTCGTTGCTGCTGAAGGATTTCTGCCTCAGTATTGGGAAGCAGGAGCTCAAGGGGCTGGTAAGGCCTGGGGGTCTCTGCCTGGGTCGCATGGGCGTCCTGTATTTTCTTCCGTTTGGGCTGTATGCATCAGGCACAAACTGTGTGCACGGAGCCACATGACGGGGGTGGGCTGGGGAAGAGACGGACAGATGGCGTTCTTGCACGGTGGCTCTGGCCCTGCCTGGGTGTGTTCTACAGGCGAGGGAGGGGCTCAGAGCAGGAGGGCCCCGGTGTGCACCAGATGGGTCAGGATACTCGGGTGAGGTGATTGCCTCTGTGAGAGGGGCGGGAGGATTCCTGGAGGCCTCCCTGGGAAGTAGCCTTTGGGCACAGGTAGGCACATCCCTGGAGGGGTTATCATTCTTCCCCAGAGGTTCGAATCTCACAGACCTTTGCCATCTCCCCCCTCAGCTCCTTCCACCTGTTGGAGCCCACCCACGTGGCTCTGAGGCTGCTGCTGACACAGGTCACTTCCTCACGCCCCACAGACACTGTGCAAGTGGGTGTGACACTCCGTGTACAGGGAGCACTCGGACAGAGCTGGAATGCCAGCTGGGACCTCGGAGTCCACACTCTGTCTCCTTCCCATTTCCCATCCATCCCTGGGAAGCATCTTGGCCCCCCAGGAACATGGACAGCTCGGGCTCTCAGGCACCTGCCTGTCTCCCCACCAGCCAGCTGCCGCCCCAAGGGCTACGCTGCCCTGTCTCACCCTTGTCCCTGTGTCCCTTTGTCTCTTACTGTGACTGGCACTCAGAGGAATATTGGCAAGCACTGGTCCTTGGGGCACATCGAGAGCTACTCTGCAGCCAGACACAGTAGCTCATGCCAGTAGTCAAGTGGCTCATGCCAGTAGTCAAGCACTTTGGGGGTCCAAGGCAGGAGGCTCACTTGAGCCCAGGAGTTTGACCTGGGCAAGAAGGTGAGCCCCACCTCTATAAAAAATTTAAAAATTAACCAGATGTGGTAGCATGCGCCTGTGGTCCCAGCTACATGGGAGGCTGAAGCAGGAGGATTGCTTGAGCCCAGGATTTCAAGGCTGCAGAAAAAAAAAAGAGAACTGCCCTTTCAGGCAGCTTGAAGCCTTTCTTTTCTTTTCTTTCTTTTTTTTTGAGACAAAGTCTTGCTCTTGTCCTCCAGACTGGAGTGCAATAGTGCGATCTTGGCTCACTGCAACCTCCTTCTCCCGGGTTCAAGCGATTCTCCTGCCTCAGCCTCCCAAGTAGCTGGGATTACAGGCACCTGCCACCATGCCTGGCTAATTTTTGTATTTTTAGCAGAGACTGGGTTTCACCATGTTGGCCAGGCTGGTCTCAAGCTCCTGACCTGAGGTGATCTGCCTGCCTTGGCCTCCCAAAGTGCTGGGATTACAGGTGTGAGCCACCGCGCCTGGCCTTCTTTTCTTATCAGCTAGCAAAGCTGTCATTCCAGGGACTGAATCGTGTGGCCCTGAGACCCACTGGGAGAACTGGCAGAGCAGCAGACTTGAGTCAGTTCCTGCTTAATCTAGGGAGAGATTTTTTTGGCCAAAGAGCTCCTTTCATGTCACTAGAATTTCCTGACAGTTTTTCTCACCTAGTGGCCTGTGCCACACACATTCCCCTATTGGAAGGTGAGGTTTTGTTTGTGTTTAATCAAGCCCAGCACCCTTGTGCCCTATGTGACATGTGACATATTTGACATAGCAAAAAAGCTAGTCCTGTCATTTACCTTAGAAAAGTTCTTAGAGGAGCCGGGAGTGGTGGCTCACGCCTGTAATCTTAACACTTTGGGAGGCTAAGGCAGGCGGATCACCTGAGGTAAGGAGTTCAAGACCAGCCTGCTCAACATGGCAAAACCCCGTCTCTACTAAAAATACAAAAAATTAGCTGGGCATGGTGGTGGGCACCTGTAATCCCAGCTACTCGGGAAGCTGAGGCAGGAGAATCACTTGAACCCTGGAGGTGAGCCACGATCACGCCATTGCACTCCAGCCTGGGCAACAAGAGCTAAATTCCGTCTCAAAAAAGAAAAAAGAAAAATCCTTAGAGGGCAAGGCATAGTGACTCACGCCTGTAATCCCAACCCTTTGGGAGGCCAAGGCAGGTGGATCACTTGAGCCCAGGAGTTCAAGACCAGCCTGGATAATATGGTGGAACCTCGCCTCTACAAAAGAGACAAAAATCAGCCAGGCGTGGTGGCGGGCACCTTAGTCCCAGCTACTCAGGAGGCTGAGGTGGGAGGATTGCTTGAGTTCAAGAGGCAGAGATTGCTGTGAACTGAGATAGCGCCACTGCACTCCAGCCTGGGTGACAGAGTCCGACTTTGTTGCACTTAGAGCTCTGGAAACCTCTAAGGTTCTTGGGAAAAAAAGTTCACCTGCTTGGCCGGGCACCTGTAATCCCAGCACTTTGGGAGGCTGAGATGGGCGGATCACTTGAGGTCGGAAATTCATGACAAGCCTGACCAACATGGTGAAACCCCGTCTCTACTAAAAATCCAAACATCAGCCGGGTATGGTGGCGCATGCCTGTAATCTCACCTACCTGGGAGGCTGAGGCAGGAGAATCACTTGAATCCAGGAGGCAGAGGTTGTGGTGAGCTGAGACTGCACCATTGCACTCCAGCCTGGGCAACAAGAGCGAGACTCTGTCTCAAAAAAAAAAAGTTCACCTTCTCCTCTTGTTTTCCACGTGGCAGCCTGGACGGCATGGTGCTGATGGCGTCAGACTGCCTGGGCTCGACTGCTCTGACCCTTGCCGTCCATTACCCTCAACAAGAGAGGCAACCCCTCTCTGCCTCAGTTTCCCCATGTGGCTGACAAGGCTACTTAAGTCATTCCATTGTCACAATAATTCACTGACTTAATACATATAGAGTGTTTATTTTATTTTTCTTCCTTCCTTCCTTTTATCTCTCTCTTTTTTTCATAGGGTGTTGTTCCATCACCCAGGCTGGAGTGTAGTGGTGCAATCATGGCTCACTGCAGCCTTAACCTCCTGGGCTCAGGTGGTCGTCCTACCTCAGCCTCTCACATAGCCAGGATTACAGGTGTGCACCGCTATGCCCAGCTAGTCTAAAACAATTTTTTTGTTGAGACAGGGTCTCGCTATGTTGCCCAGTCTGGACTGGAACTCCTGGCCTCCTTTCTCAGCCTCTCAAAGTGCTGGGATTATAGGAGTGAGTCATGTTGACGGTTTAGAATAGGACCTGCCAGGCACTAGCAAATACTCAGTGTTAGTTGCTAGTACTGTGTTTTTTGTTTGTTGTCATCGTTTTGTTTAGTTTCATTGCTTTGAGACAGGGTCTCAGTCTGTTGCCCAGGTTGGAGTGCAGTGGTGCCATCACGGCTCACTGTAGCCTCGAACTCCTGGACTCAGGTGATCGTCCCACCTCAGCCTTCCAAGTAGCTGGGACTACAGGCACGCCACTATGCCCAGCTAAATTTTGTATTTTTAGTAGAGACAGGGTTTTGCCATGTTACTCAGGCTTGTTTTGAATTCCTAAGCTCAAGCAATCCTTCAGCCTTGGCCTCCCAAAGTGCTGGGATTATAGGAATGAGCCACCTCACCTGGCCCTGTTTTAAAATGTTTTTAAGCTGGCTGGGAGCAGTGGCTCACCCCTTAATCCCAGCACTTTGGGAGGCCAAGGTGGGCAGATTACCTGAGGTCAGGAGTTCGAGACCAACCTGGCCAATATGATGAAACCCCATCTCTATTAAAAATACAAAAAATTAGCGGCGTGTGGTGGCGGGCACCTGTAATCCCAGCTACTCAGGAGGCTGAGCCAGGAGAATTGCTTGAACCCAGGAGACGGAGGTTGCAGTGAGCCGAGATCACGCCATTGTACTCCAGCCTGGGCCACAAGAGTGAAACTCCTCCTCAAAAAAAGGAAAAAAAAATCTTTATTTAAACTACCCTTTTGTATTAATTTGATTCCAATATCTCATGCACCTTATGTGCCAGGCACCGCAAAATAGTACTGTGAAGTCAGCCACATTTTCCCCATTTCAAAGAAGAAGAGGTTGATTCTCAGAGAGGTTACACCCAAGGTCGCACCACAAGGAGGGGTGTGGGCTGGGATCCAACCCGAGCCTGTGTGGCTCTGCCACTCATCCTGCCTCCTGCCTGGACATAAGCAGCTGCCAGGAGAGGACCACAGGAATTGGGCTGGGACTCTGGAGCCCAGACTGGGCTCCGCTGCCCGTTGCCTGTGAGGTCTTGGGCAGCCACATAATCTCTCTGTTCCCCAAGTCTTCATTCGTAAATGAAGGAAATGGAGGAACTCTGAGGCTCTCAAACGCCCACACACAAAAGAGCCCTGGGTCTGGCGCAGACCTCCCGACCCACACCCCGCAGGTGGTGCCTGTGGCTGCGGCTCTAACCAGAACCCCAGTGACTGCCGCCCGCCGTGTTGGGAGCCCGTGGCTGAGCTGGCCTGTGGGCCTTTTCCCGAGAGTGAGAGGCACGTGGTAGGGCTCTGGTTGCACCTGCCCCTGAGTCCGTGTTCGGCAGAGCCTGGCTTGCAGGAGGGGTCAGGGAGGCTGCGGAGAGGAAGGTGAGGGGCTGGGCAGGGGAGGCCTCCCTGCAGCTCTGAAGCGGGCACCTCTGTCCCTGAAAATGGTTACTGCAGAGGGGGCAAGGCTCCCTTTGCCCTTAGTGGGTTCCTTCCACCCATCACACAGGACGTTGTCAGCACTTTACAGCCCCGGGAAGAGCCTCCGGCAGTCTTCCAGCAGAGACCAGACTGTCCCCGAGTCCTGTGGAGTCTAAATGGGCAGGCGGTGAGGACACTCCCGCAGCGGTCCCACCAGCCCCTTCCCCCGGGGCGCTGGGGTGCGAGGACTAAGGCAGGCCCCGCTTTCCTCCCTCCCCTTGTCTTTGGTGTGAGGGGCACACTGCACTTTGGTGACTATTCTGCAGCCCCAGCCTTCAGCCCGGGTTCCCTGGCCTCCTGCCTGGAATGCAGAAACCTGGCAGTCTCCGCCCCCACTCCCCCCGGCCCCCGGGTCCGATTTTTTCTCGTCCACTAGGGGGAGCCAATACACAGCTCGGCCTCCCTCGGGTTCCTTTGGGAACCTGGCGCTGGCATTGGGCTGAGTGTTGGGCTGAGCGTTGGGCCGGCGCTGTCCATTTGGATCCTCCTACCTGTCATGATCTCCGTATTTTTTGTTTCTGCAATGGTAACTTGAATTATTTTGATTTCACAAAATAACATTGAAAATATATGAATACTTATTTTAAGACTTTCAAATTGTCATAAAATAACATAAAATATCTTTGGTTCGGCCAAATACATAACTTTCCTTTTCCAGTAACAGTATAATTCTTTACCCACATTAATAGTTGTATATCCTGGCTGGGCACGGTGGCTCATGCCTGTAATCCCAGCACTTTGGGAGGCCGAACTGGCCAGATTATGAGGTCAGGAGTTCAAGATCAGCCTGGCTAACATGGAGAAACCCTGTCTCTAGTAAAAATACAAAAATTAGTCAGGCATGGTGGTGTGCACCTGTAATCCCAGCTACTCGGGAGGCTGAGGCAGGAGAATCACTTGAACCCAGGAGGCAGAGGCTGCAGTGAGCCAAGATCACACCACTGCACTCCAGCCTGGGTGACAGAGCGAGACTCCATCTCGGGGGTGGGGGGAAGAAAAGTTGTATATCTTAAACATATACAATAAGGAAATAATACTGTCCTACAAAGTAAAACTCAAATGATATATGTATGACAAAAACCAAGCCTAGACTGTCATAAAGAAGGGGAGGATTACAGGCTTCTGTATAAAGGCATGCTCACATCCATCTGTCAGTGATCCCCACTTTGCAATTCATGCTGAGCCTTGTTACTAATAGCAGTCGTCGCAGCAAGCATGTCCAGCAGACATCAGGCAGCGGACTAGACGTGTAAATAGCCTTACATTGTCTTCCGCCCTCACTTAGGAGGGGGATCCCCCACTTTCAGACCCAGGCCCTGAGAGGGAGTGAATTGCCCTGGGCACAAGGGGAGGGAGGAAATGGAGTTGCTGCACCTGGCCAGGGCACGTCTGGCCTTCTGGCTGCGCTACTCCCTGGCGTCCCAGAGACTGTCCTGGAGATAAAGCTGGAGAGCCTCGTTGATCCCCGTCCTTAGAAGAGGGGGCCAAATGTGAAGCCACCACTGACCCCAAAACCACCAGCAGCTGAGGCTGCCCTGGGGCAGGCGTCAACCTCAGAGGTTGTCTGTGTCAGTGCCTTAGTGTCCCCTGCCTAACCTGCATCCCCCAAAAGCGCTTCTTGGCTGGCACTTCTGCACTATCTCCTATATCTATGCAAATTCAGGGCAGATGTAAATTGGAGGCAGATATTTATTTTTATGCAGATGAGCCACTCCAGAGTGTTTGGTGCATTGGAGATCTCGTGAAAGCAAAATATCTCCCGGCGTGCGCTGCTTGTTATGTTCGGGTTTTAAGTCGTGTCAGTGTTTACATTTTCTTAATACGAAAAATGCCTGCGTCGTTCTGCCGCCAGCTCCCCCGCCCTCCCTGCAACCCTCGGCCTCTCTGCTGGCGCCTAATGGTTTCTTTATTCTCTTGCTCTGCTTTCTTAGTCACAAGTTTGGGAAAAAAGTCACCTATTTCAACTACCTGAGCGAGCTCCATGAACACCTTAAATACGACCAGCTGATGATCCCTCCCGAAGTTCTGCGGTGAGTGCCGGTTAGACCCCAGAAGCCACATCAGTACCTCTTCGTGCTTCCAAAGGGCTTGGTTCGATCCATGAATGTTTAAGGCTTCGTTTCCAAATGTGTGCTTGGCTAGCTTTGGCTCAGAAATCTGCGGCGTCGACAAAGATCTGCAGCTGCTGACTCAGAGAAATGAGATTGCAAAGGTTGTGTGCGGGACGGGCTGTTTTCCTCGCCCACCACTGCAGAACTGATTTAAAAAATAAGCCCTCGCCGGGCACTGGCCGTTTGTTGCCTTGATGTTTACCGTTTTTGCTTTTGAGCAGAAAATTGGGGGAATTTCCCAGGCGTGTGGATAACGCTGTGTACAGAATGAAATGTTCTCAGGGACGTCGCGGGCGCTCTAGAAAACGACCTGTCTGCTGGATGCTGAAAGCTTGATTGGTGTGTCCGCCACGAGGCTTAAACGTAGGCCCGGATGAATGGAGGCTGCCCAGGAAGGCGCGTGCCACACAGCCAGTACAGGGTGTGGCGAGATCCAGCCTGGGTCTCTGGACCCCCAGCCTGGGTTCCCTCTGCCCCTGGCTCCCTCTGCCCCTGGCTCCCTCTCTGAGGGGCTCCTTTAAAGGAGTAGGCTCTTGCCAAAGTGCATGCAGGTGAGACTGGTAACTTTGCAGGGGCAATGGAGATAACTTCTCTCTGGATGCCAAGTCATGTGGCAGGTGCTGGGATATAAAGGTGTTTAGAGAGTGTGGTCCCTGCTCTCATGACACGCTTAGGCTAGTGAGGGCCACAAATCAGTGATGACAGGGGCCAGAGGAGGCATTGAACCCAGCTGGGGAGGGAACTGATATGTGGGGGTAATCCAGGAAGACTTCCAGGAGGAGGTGGCTCTTAAAGTGAGTTTCACAGGGACAGTTGGCTAGATCAAGAGGCCAGGGAAGCACATTTCCAACAGAGGGAAGCCCTCCTGCAAACATGTGGGTGAAATATCGGGAGATCTGGAGGCAGCGAGAAAGTCCCACATGATCAAGCAGAAGTTGGTGAATGTGAAGCTGGAGGTCACCTTGGACCAGGAGTCCTTGGTGCCAAGCAGAAGAGAGTGAACTGAACCCAGAGGCCATGGAAGGAGGATGGGAATCCCTGGTCTGTGGGCCCTGGCAAGACCCCACTCCCAGACCTCACTAGAGTGACCCGGGGGAGTCCATGGAGACGGCTCAGAAGATGTATTTTTAGCAGCTCTGTGGTGGAAGTGATTTGATCTGGTGACAAAGGGTAGCTTCACATCCTCCCGCGTGGGAGAGCAATTTGGGGATGAAATGGATGGCATCTGAAACACCCAGCTCCGGCTTCTCAATGGCTACTGGGTGCAATCTAGGGCCTCTGGAATGTGCAGGTGGCTGACAACACTGAGGGTGCAGGGTCCTATGAGTCAGAGGGGACAAAGTTTGGGAGAGGGGCGTGGGCTTGGGTATTGGGAGCTCCTGAACTTACTCTGTAGGGAGCCGGTACCCCTGTTCCATAGCCGTGCAGCAGAACCCCAGAGGACACGTCCAATCCTGATGCTTTTAATTGAGCGTCTACTAGACTTGGGGGCTAAGCCTGGATTTTATCCAGCCCCACATACTTCCTGGTGGGTGCTTCGAGGACCGGAGGCTGAGACCCACTGGCAGAGCAGCAGGGCAGGGCCTTGGGGTCCTGAATCCTGGCTGGCGTCCCAGCTTGTGACCTGAGGCAAGTCCCCAGACCTTGACAAGCCTCAGTTTCCCAATCTGTAAAGTACACAAAATAACCCTTTCATGGAAGGCCCCTCATGAGGGACAGAGACCTCTCTGGGGAGCCACTCAGGGCACAGAGCGCTGTGATTAACTCACAAAGGACAACCGCACGTGGCAGCGGCTCACACCTGCTTGGCTGGCCAGGCTCAGTCCAGTGTGCCGCCTTCTCTGCAGACCTTCCCTGCGTGTCGGGTGCCTCTGTATCGTGTGCCTGCACCGTCTTGTGTCACTGACTTGCTCCCGAGCTGCTGACTAATGCTCATGTTCTCCCCCTATCCTGTGGCCGGGTTACTGCCGTATGCACAGTGCCCGGCACATAGTAGGGCCTCAATATGTATTTGTCTGTGTTAAGGGAGGACTGTGTTGAGGAAGGACTGTTACCTGCTGCACAGAGGCTCTGTTCTTTTCTTTTTTGAGGTGGAGTCTTGCTCTGTCGCCCAGGCTGCAATGGCACGATCTTGGCTCACTGCAGCCTGCACCTCCTGGGTTCAAGTGATTCTCCTGCCTCAGCCTCCCAAGTAGCTAGGATAACAGGCATGCACAACCATGCCCAGCTAATTTTTGTAATTTGGGTAGAGACCGGGGTTTCATCATGTTGTCCAGTCTGGTCTTGAACTCCTAACCTCAAGTGAAACGCCTGCCTTGGCCTCCCAAAGTGCTGGGATTACAGGCGTGAGCCACCGCGCCCAGCACACAGGTTCTTTTTACTGAAGGCTTTAGGAATTTATCCATCCTCTTCAGAGTCCAGCTGTTCATGGCTTGCTTCATTCATTCCACAAATATTTTAACTGAACATCTACTAGGCAGCAAGCCCTTTCCAGACACTGGGGATAAAGTAATTAACAAAAGGTACAAGTCCCCTTTAGCATTACAAGCCAGCGTTTGTCTTAGTTTCAGACACTCAGGAGAGCTGAGGGTGGTCACACCCACCTCGGGGCTGACCGCATGGCAAGTGGGTGAGGCCGCTCTGCCAGCCAGGGTAGGCCCGCTGGCCAGGGGTCGCAGGAGAGAATGGACACGTGCTGGGGGCTGGGCTACTGCCTGTTGCAAGAATAGCCCGCAGCAGTGGGGGACTGTGACCGCGTGAATGTGAACGTCTGTGAGCTGGCAGCAGGGCGTGTGCGCCCCGAGGGAGGGGACGCCCAGGTGTCCTGCAGGTGTTTGTGGGGTAGCCCGCTCCACCCAGCGCCTCCATGGATGCCAGCTGCCCCTGCCAGGTGAGAGCCCAGCCTCTGTTGTGTCTGCAGGTACGATGAGAAGCTCCAGAGCCTGCACGAGGGCCGGACGCCGCCTCCCACCAAGACGCCGCCCCCGCGGCCCCCGCTGCCCACGCAGCAGTTTGGCGTCAGTCTGCAATAGTAAGTGAGCCGGGGATGTGCCTGCTCCTATGCCCTGGAGCCCTGGGAGCTGTGGGGCGCTTCGGAGTCCAGAGACATTTTCCCCAGACTTTTGTCTCCAGCAGCCAAGCTTAATCCTGCAGGAAAGATAAAGCCTGAGCTCCTCACTGAGGCTGCGGCTCGATGCTTGGTGCCTGGTGGGGGGGTGGGGGTGTGCTCGCTGCTTTGTCCCTGGTGGGGGGACCGGCAGTGGATAGCAGATGGGGGTCTCTGGGGTTCCCACTCCAGCTTCTGTCACTGCTGCCCTCTGGGCATACACTTCCCACCACCTTCAAGGAGGGCGTGGTCACGGAATGTGCTTAGGTGTGGATGTGGGGCGTGTCGTGCTCAGAAGAAACTTCTGGAGCCAGTGGGCAGCTGCCTCCCTTCATGGTCAGGTACAGGCCTGGGTGAGGTAGAGACGGCGCCTGGTCACTCTGCATCCCTGATCCCCGCATCAGCGTGCACGCTGCTAACACCCAGGCTGGACACAGGCATAGAGAAGACAGGCTTGTGCTGGACTCAGCCCCTGAGATTTAGGGGTCCTTGTTACTGCAGCGTAATCTGTCCTCCCTAATACCCTTTATCAGCCGCATGACCTCAAACTCACCTCTTCTCTCAGCTTGTTTCCTTATTTCTGTTATACAATCTTTTTTGGGGGGTGGCGGGAGCAGAGTCTTGCTCTGCCTCTCAGGCTGGAGTACAGTAGCTCCATCTCAGCTCACTGCAACCTCTGCCTCCTGGGTTCAAGCTATTCTCCTGCCTCAGCCTCCTGAGTAGCTGGGATTACATGCACCTGCCACCACGTCTGGCTATTTTTTTTGTATTTTTAGTAGAGAGAGAGATTGGTCATGTTGCCTGGCTGGTCTCGAACTCCTGACCTCAAGCGATCCACTCACCTTAGCCTCCCAAAGTGCCAGGATTACAGGTGTGAGCCACTGCACCTGGCCACCCAGGGTAGATTTTGAAACATTTTGAAAGGTTTTGAGAACTGAGGAGGCTCTGGGTGGCATCTGGGCCAGGGGAGGAGATGCGTCGGTCACCCGCCCTTCCTGAGCCATGTGGGCAAGGGCATTCCTGGGATTAGAGGGGAGTGGATTCAGCCCTGGGGACTTGCCTGTTTCTTTCTTGGCTGAGAGTGGTGGAGCTCAGGAGAATAGGGAGGGAGGCAGAATCATGGACCCCAATGAAGTCCATGCCCTCATTCCCAGAACCTGTGATTAGGTCACCTTACGTGGCAAAAGGGGCTTTGCAGAAGTGATTAAGTGAAGGATCTTGGGATGGGGGGTTATTCTGGGTTCTCTGGTGGGCCCAAAGCAATCGCCAGAATCTTTACAAGAGAGAGACAGGAGGGTCAGAGTCAGAGGAGATGTGGCAGCAGAAGCAGAGGCAGAGAGGTGCGGGGCCAGAAGCCAGGGTACTCAGGTACCTCTAGAAACTGAAAAAGGCAAGGAACGGATTCTCCCTGGAGCCTCCAGGTGGAACACAGTCGGGTCAACCCCTTTTTGACTCCTGACACCTCCAGGATGTGAGATAATACATTTGGGTGTTTTGTTTGTTTGTTTGTTTTGCTTTTTTTTTTTTTTGAGACGGAGTCTCACTCTGTCCCCCAGGCTGGAGTGCAGTGGTATGACCTCAGCTCACTGCAACTTCCGCTCCCCGGATTCAAGCGATTCTCTTGCCTCAGCCTCCCAAGTAGCTGGGATTATAGGCGCCCACCGCTACGCCTGGCTAATTTTTGTGTATTTTTAATAGAGATGGGGTTTCACCATGTTGGCCAGGCTGGTCTTGAACTCGTGACCTCAGGTGATCCACCTGCCTTGACCTCCCAAAGTGCCAGGATTACAGGTGTGAGCCACCTCACTTGGCCCATTTGTGTTGTTTTAAGCTACCGAGTTGACGGTAATTGGTTACTGGGGCCACATGAAAATAAAGCAGGTGGTAGTGAGTGGTGGGTGGTTGTGAGTCTAGGGGGAGGGAATTGTGTCTCAATCTTATTTCCAGAACCAGCGAAGGTTGCTTCCAGGGTGCTTGAGCCCAGGAGAGGGCTGGGCCTGGAGTGCATATGTGAAGCTGGGTGGGCATCTCACACTAAAAAGGACCGTTGGTGCCCCAGTGTGGGCCCCTAGACCAGCACTGTCTGATGGAACTCTCTGTCAGGATGGACCTGGACTGCGCGGCCCAGTATGGTAGCCAGTGCTTGGTGCGGCTGGTGCAGATGCTGAATTTCTAATTGTATTTGATTTTAACTAATTTGAATTAGAACTATTGCATGTGACTTTTGACAGTTGTACTGCACAGCACAGCTCTGTTTCACCCTCGCCTTCCCTAGCTAGGCACACGCACAAGGGGTTGTCACTTAGACATTTTGTAAGCACTTTGCCAGTAAATGAGCAAGACAGTATATGTTGAAATAGAATGTTCACCCCCAATATATCTGAAACACATAGTTGACTACCAAATAGTACTTCCTTTTCCTTTTTCAGACTTTGTGAGAGTGTGCGGGTATGAACCACTCTTCAGCTCCCACCACCCCTTAGGGGCGGCCCAGGAATGCTGGACTGGGCAGACACCTGCAGTGACCTCAGGCTCCTCCTGGGGGCGCTGGTGAGAACTCAGCCCTTGAGCAGGCTGAGCCAGCAGACCAGAATTTTTTTTTTTTTTGAGACTTTTTTTTTTTTTTTTTTTTTTTTTTTTTTGAGATGGAGTCTCACTCTGTCGCCCAGGCTGGAGTGCAGTGGCAGGATCTTGGCTCCCTGCAACCTCTGCCTCCTGGATTTAAGCAATTCTCCTGCCTCAGCCTCCTGATTAGCTGGGACTGCAGGCACGCGCCACCACACCCAGCTAATTTTTTTGTATTTTTAGTACAGGCGGGGATTCACGATGTTGGCCAGGCTGGTCTCGAACTCCTGACCTCAAGTGATCCACCTGCCTCGGCCTTCTACTGGGATTACAGGTGTGAGCCACCAGGATTTTCCAGCCATCAGATGACCGCTTTCCCCATGTTCCTGAAGCCCTGTGCCTCCAGCCCATTACTGGGGCTCTGCTGGGCTGATACTGCTTCCATGTGCTCTGACACACAGGGGCCTAGGGGTGGGTCCTTAGCTGGGAGACTCCAGCCACGCCTTTCTCCTCTCTTATTTTATTGTTCAGTCACTTCTCTCTTCTTATCATCTAACAAAACTTTAAAAAGGAAAAACAAAGGCCGGGTGTGGTGGCTCACACCTGTAATCCCAACACTTTGGGAGGCCGAGGTGGGTGGATCACCTGAGGTCAGGAGTTCAAGACCAGTCTGGCCAGTATGGTGAAACCCCCGTCTCTACTAAAAATACAAAAAAAAAAAAAAATTGTCGGGCTTGGGGCCACACGCCTGTAATCCCAGCTACTCTGGAGGCTAAGGCAGGAGAATTGCTTGAACCCGGGAGGCGGAGGTTGCAGCGAGCCAAGACTTTGCCACTGCACTCCAGCCCGGGAGACAGAGAGAGACTCCCCCTTAAAAAGAAAGAAAGAAAAACAAAAAGAAAAAACAAGCACAGCTCACAGACTTCAAAAGCCATCTACCTGAGTGAAGTGTGGGAAAATGGTTAGCCATGGCTGTAGGCCTCAACTCCTAGAAGGCCACCAAGAGATATACTGCATTCTGAGCAGGTGCCTTTCAGAGTGTACTAATGCAGGGCCGTTGGCTTTAACTGTCACCTTGCCATAGTCCGTCCCCCTCCAGGGCCAGTTATAACTGTAAAAGTCCGGTCCTTAGCTGCTTTCGGGACAATGGGCCACACTGTGCGTGCCGCTTGGAGAGAGAATCCATGCAGTTGCCTCTTTAAATTAATACGTGATTTCATTGCTAATGATTATAATAAAATGGCAATAAACATTTTAAAGGAAGCACTAGATATGTAATTTGTTTGGACTGTGAATGAATGAAAGTCATTAAAATTCATAACTGAATCCTGTTCACAAATGTTAATTTGCCTAGTTAAGTTCAAAAGCATACAGCAGAAAGCTATCACCTTAGAATGAGCTAATTAAGTTAATATATTAAAGGGAAGTCAAAGATTCAGGAGGTCTTTGCTTGCCATCCCTGAAGAGGAAAAATGGAAACCTGAGGCCTGTGTGGGCAGCTGGGGGAGGTGGGCACAGGGCAGAGCTTGAGGTGTCCTTCGGCCTGGGTGGAGCAGGTCATGGCTGAGCTCTGGCATTTTTTTTCTTTTTTTTTTTTTGAGAGGGAATCTCGCTCTGTTGCCCAGGCTGGAGTGCAGCGGCGTGATCTCTGCTCACTGCAACCTCTGCCTCCCGGGTTCAAGTGATTCTCCTGTCTCAGCCTCCCGAGTAACTGGGACTACAGGTGCACGCTACCACGCCTGGCTAAGTTTTGTATTTTTAGTAGAGACGGGGTTTTGCCCTGTTGGCCAGGCTGGTCGCAAACTCCTGACCTCAGGTGTTCTACCCGCCTCAGCTTCCCAAAATGCTGGGATTACAAGCATGAGCCACTGCACCTGGCCGTTACTGTTTTTTGTTTTTTGTTTTTTCTTTTTTTCTTTTTTTAGGTGGAGTCTTGCTCCATCGCCCAGGCTGGAGTGCAGTGGCGCAGTCTGGCTCACTGCAACCTCTGCCTTCCAGTTCAGATGATTCTCCTGCCTCAGCCTCCTGAGTAGCTGGGATTGCAGGTACCTGCCACCATACCCAGCTAATTTTTTTGGTTTGTTTGTTGTTTTTTGAGACAAAGTCTTGCTCTGTCACCCAGGCTGGAGTGCAATGACATGATCTTGGCTCACTGCAACCTCCACGTCCTGCATTCAAGTGATTCTCCTGTCTCGCGCTCCCGAGGATGTGGGACTACACATTCGTGCGCCACCACGCCCAGCGAATCTTTTTGTATTTTTAATAGAGACGAGGTTTCACCATGTTGACCAGGCTGGTCTCGAACTCCTGACCTCAGGTAATCCACCCATCTTGGTCTCCCAAAATGCTGGGATTACAGG